AACTTCTTTGCTTTTCATATCAGTTTATCTCCAGACCTTGTATCTCTTGGAGTATTTGCTTCCTCATTCCCCCCCTCCCCCCATTTGCCTCAGTTTTAAAACTTCATTCAACTTATGAAGAAATTGCTGCAATATTTTATTAAGATTTTCTCCTTGTTATTTCAGGGATGAATATGTGCATGTATTTCTCTCTTTGTGTTATTTCTCTCACTTAAACTACTTCAAGGCTAAAGTAAATTCAATCATTTTTAACTTCTTTGCATCATTATTCTTCCCAGCTGATAAAATCCCTATATCACTTTTCGTACTGTAGTTGCAAACAGCAGTTGAACAAAACGTTGCTGACATCTTCAATATTTGATAATGGGCAATTTTCACTTCCAGGCATTGAAGCACAAAATATAAATTTCTGCAAATAGCTCACTTTTAAAATTAAGAATATTTTTTTTAAAAAAAAAACTTTAGAAATGACATCTTCATGTTTAGATTTTTTTCAGTAATATACATGTAAGATATTTGAAATTGAATCTAACTATAAAGTGGAAATACGTTTGACTGTTTCCTTATTTGCCCTGTATATTAATTATAAAGGGGAGCTTTCTTCCTTAGAAAATATCTCAAATTACCAGATCAGTAGTTGAAATTGTGACTGAAGAGATGAGAATTTTTTTCCCAACAGCTACTTTAGTTTATTGTTTAGATCAGCAGTCCCCAATCTTCCTGGCTCTGTGGACCAGTGGCAGCTGAGGGGGAGGGGGGTTTCACGCGCATGCCACTTGAGCAAATGCAGCTTCACACACATGCTCGCCAGCTGCTTACACAGCCCGTTTCCCAACAGGCAGTGGCCCGACATCCGGACCACGACCCTGGGGTTAAGGACCCTTGATTTAGATTACAGATGAGCTGTTATAAGTATTTGTCAGTAGTTTTAAACGGGGAGAAGGAGGGGGATGCAAAAAGGTTACATTTATGACATAATTCATTGTTTATATTTCTGTAGTAACAAACAGCTTTCTTTCCTTACATACATAACCAAATCCACATTTCCCCAAAACTGGTGGTAGGAACAGCAGTCCAGAGCTGTGGTGGCACAGGTGGTTAGAAAGTAATATTGCAGGCTAACTCTACCCATAGGCAGGAGTTCGATCCTGACCAGCTCAAGGCTCACTCAGCCTTCCATCCTTCCAAGATTGGTAAAATGAGGACGCAGATTATTGGGGGCAATATGCTATAAACTGCTCAGAGAGTGCTGTAAAGCACTATGGAGTGGTATAGAAATCTAACTGCTATTGCTATTGCTATATGAAGGAAGGATTGAATTTACAATTGAATTTACAATTTACAATTGAATTTCTATGAAGCAAAATAAGAGAAAAGGAGCTTTTGTCCCCACATTTATTTTGTTGCCACAGCTACTAAGTTTGTCAGAGTGTCAACACAAGGGACCTGGAAGGTAAGGCCAAGGGCAACACTATCAGTAAAGGAGGAGGGCTGGTAGAAATGTTCAAAGGCAAGCTGCATATTCTACTGAAGCTTGGATTTAAACCCCAGTAGGAGAATTTGGGTCCCTTGAAAATTCACCTCTCCTTTGATGGCCAATTTTAATGAATTCTCAAGGTTATATTCCGTCTGAATTCTTTGAAATGCACCAGGATTCCTTCAGAATTCTCACTGTGCTTTGTTGTTTCTTGACTGCTGTACATTTACTTCCTTAAAAAAAGTGAACAGGAGTTATTTATAAAATGTGTATGTGAAAAACTGCCAGCAAATGATGCTCCTGGTCCTTTGTGAATTGAGAAAGTAATTCAATTTAGTTTTGTAAGGCAAAGGAAGGAAACAGTGAGAGAGAAAGCTGACACCAGGAAAACAAAGGGCACCTTTTCTTTTTTTTTTTTAACCTGGGCTGTAGAGAGTGCAAAAGAATGCTTTATGTCTGAAAAGGTATATGTTTCCAAAGCCCTCTAGAATCATACAGGGAGGCCCAGCTGTGCACTACACCTGCTGAGTCTAAATCTTTCTTTAAGGCCATCAATCTCCAAGTGACTGCTGCTGCTTCTCTATCTTCTTAATGTACTTGGGATTGTCAAGGTAAATGGATTTTCCACAGACTCTATACATCTAGCAGCAAGTTATCTACAGAAGCTAAATAGCTGCAGTTGGTCAGATCAAATAGTGCAAATACTATACCCCTGTGTGAGACTCATTGAAACAGCCACAGCTTTTCCCCAGACTGTGTGGCTGCTGAAGGAAAGATTCCGTATGGCTGTGCAGTCTTGGAAACGAGTTGTATGTGGGTGTTAAAACATTTCTTCCAGTTGGCTCCAAAGCAATGTTCATCCCTAAAGAATAGGTCATACATAAATTTATGTCTTGCGCTGATACCAATTTCAAATAATTATGCCCTGTGAATCTTAACATTAGCATAAAGTCAAAAAAAATCTTTGTTGAAACCTAGGGAACAAATTTTTAAATTTTACTATGCATTGTTCATATCTCCCAATATCTTAGCTTGATATTTATTTATTTTTTAATTAAATTCCCAGAATTTCAGAATGCATTGACAGTGAAGCTGAAACAGTTATGCAGCTGCGAAATGAGCTGAGAGACAAAGAGATGAAGTTGACTGATATCCGTTTAGAGGCCCTCAGTTCTGCTCATCAACTGGATCAGCTCCGGGAAGCTATGAACAGGATGCAGGTAGGAGCCTGAAAGCAGATCTGTTGTGTTAAGACGTTGGTGGTATTCTATTAATGCTTTCCATTGAGCAAAGATAATCAGGTCCCTGAAACAGGAATTTTCTTATGTACCAAATGCCAACACAAGGGCCTTAAATTACAGTTGCCACTAATTGTCATCCAGAAGTTCATAAGAAGCAACTCTGTTTGCTTGGTTCTTTATGCATCTGCGACTCTTCCGAACTTTGATAAAATTATACTCTGAGAAAATACATTTCCTACATCTGTGTGTTTCTCTAGCACTCTGCAGATGTTTACTCGAACATAAAAGAGCTTGGAGGTAGATAGAAGATGGAATATGCATGAAGCTTATCCTTTCTCTCCCCAACTCCCACAGGTTTCACTTGAAGGTCTGAAGAGCAAAGCTACAGTCAGATTTGCTTGTTTGCTTGTGCAGCTGTTTCTGGAACCTGATAAGGCAGGGACCTGAGTAACTCAAGACAGTTGTACTTGTGTTTTCTCAACTGAATGTGTGAGAGCTGAAGACACTGTGATTCATTGTATGCCACCTCCTTTATCTAGTTTTGCACTTTTATACATTCTTTTGTTTCTTGAATTTTTGTTTCATAAGTCTGTCTTGCTATCTTTATTGTTTTTATTTTGTATAATTTGCAATTAAATTTGCATCCAAAATAGACATTTTGGTACTATTTAAAAGTATAATTGCAATGGGAAAAAATGGAAAATTATATTAAAACATTATATGCCCTAGAGCAGACATGTGAAACACAAGGCCTGCGGGACGGATCCGGCTCACGGAGGGCCCAGATTTGGCCCCCGTGGCTGTGCCAGAAGTGGCAAGGGACTGGCCCCCGCTGCCCCACCCCAACCCAGCTGGGCACCCCCCGGCGCACATACATGAAACGGCGAGTGCTTAGGGGTTGATGGTGCGCAGCAGCAGCAGCAGCTGCAGTTCATTTGCTTCACCCCGGCCCGTCCCTCCCAACCTAACCCCATCACACCCAGCCACGCCCCACTTTGCCAGGCTCTCCTCATCCAGCTCTGCTTTGCCGGGCCGCGCCTTTCCTCACTCGGGCCATGGTGTTTGGTAAGCCTAGTGCCCCAGGGCATGCCCGGCCTGTGGGATGCCCAGCCTATGGGAGTGCGTGGTGGATGCCTGGCCTGTGGGAGCACATGGTGACACAAGCCGAGTGTCGGCCATCGCCCTCTCCGCCATGTGGTAATGCCGGATGCAGAGCTGCAGCCTGGAACTGCCCATGTGAGCCTCTGTGGCAGCTGGAGAGAAAGGGTGAGAAGGAGGAGAAAGTGTGTGTGTGTGTGTGTATGTGTGTGTGTGTGTGAGAGAGAGAGAGAGAGAGAGAGAAGAGGAGGAAGAGGAAGAGGAAGCTGAGGTGTTACAAAAAAGGGTAGCTTCCCTCTTTCTCCCCCTTCTCTTTTTTTAACCTCCTCCCACTCCGTTCAGGTGCAGCTGGAGGAAAAGAGCGAGACGGGGGAGAAAGCAGGGAGAGTTTTTGTGTGTTTAAATTTTATAGAAATGCAGCAAAATAATCTCCTGAGAGGAACCATAATTTCAGTGTTGTCAATAAACTCTATTCAAGTTTGCTTCTGAGAGGGATCACTATCTTTAACCACCTGCAAATCAGGTTTACAATTTAACTGAGAAAGCTACACTTTTGTTGCAGGATTGACAAAAAACACAGCTCAACCAAGGGAAGAAAAACTGCAAATGTTTTTTTTTTCTTTGAACTTTGGAGAGCTCTAGTGTGTATATAGTGCACCAGTTTTGCTCTATATCTAGTGACAAGAAGATAGACCTTATCTTTTGGTGAGAAATAAAAAGTTCATTGGAACAGGGTCAATGAAGAAAGTACAAAAGAAGGAAGCAGGATCTCAGCTACGTATTGTGTGGGTACATGTATGTAATTGTGTCTATCTTCACTTGAGATGCATCGTTAGAGACTATACTGGAGCATAAGTTTGTACTTCCTAGGAGTTTAGACACGCTGATCTCTATGATTCTTTCCAAACCTTACATTTTATGTTTTTATTATTCCATGATATATTGATCACATTCAGATATAACAAAAAGTACTTGTGTTTCTTCCTCCTTTACTGTTTTTTTAAAAAACTCCAGAGTGAGATTGAGAAATTGAAAGCCGAAAATGATCGCTTGAAATCTGAAAACCAAGGCACCTGTAGTAGAGCCCAATCTCAAGTTTTCATTTCATCGTCTCCAAGGCAATCTATGGGTCTGTCACAGCACAGTCTGAACCTCACAGAGTCAGCTAGTCTTGGTGAGTATGTAAGAAAGTCAGTGGGCAGGTTTTCTCCTGTAGCAGTGAATTCAATTAATAGATAAGATGTTAAAGTGGAAGAACGGGAATAGTAACAGAGTTAGTTCTTCTATAAGCTGAAATGTAATATAAACACAGCATTCTAGTTATGACCTCAGGTAAAATAAACCACATTCAGTGATCTGATTGCAAACATTTAGTAGAGTTACAGGTTTTTTTTTAAAAAAAGAAAACTTTGTGTTAATATTTATGTGATCTTTGTTTCTTACGTAACTATTCCCAGTTGTTAGGGGGTTTTCATTTGTTCAAAGTGTGCTTCATAATTTTCAAAATATAAAAGCTGACATTTTAAACAGTATGTGAACCTCAGCTTTCTTTTATAAACACATTTCTAGTCCATAAAGTAGCAGTCATAACTAGGACATGATGCATGTCAGAATTTCCAAAACCAAATCAAAAATAACCTCCAATATTTGAAGACAGAATCTGTGTTTCCTACCAACAGATATGTTGCTGGATGACTCCAGTGATGGTTCTTCTCGGAAAGAAGGTGGCAGGCATGTTAAAATAGTTGTCAGCTTTCAGGAGGAAGAGAAATGGAAAGAAGTGAGTCGAAATATTTTTGGTCTTGATAATATGATTAATCATGTTAAGAAATACAGGTAGTCCTCGACTTACCACAGTTTGTTTAGTGACTGTTCAAAGTTATAAGGCACTGAAAAAAGTGACTTATGACTGTTTTCACACTTACGATCATTGCAGCATCCTGGTCATGTGATCCAAATTCAGACGCTTGTCAACTGACTCATATTTATGACGGTTGCAGTGTCCCAGAGTCATGTGATCCCTTTTGTGACCTTCTGATAAGCAAAGTCAATGGGGAAGTCAGTGATTCACTTAACCATGATACTAATTTAACAACTGCAGTGATTCACTTAACAACTGTGGCAAGAAAGATAGTAAAATGGAGCAAAGCTCACTTAACAACTGTCTTATTTAGCAATGGAAATTTTGGGTTAAATTGTGGTCGTAAGTTGAAGACTATCTCTATAAGGTTACTATGGCTCTGTTTATTTAAATTATACAGAGTTTTTCCATTGAGGGATCCCCAAATCACTCAACGAGCGGTTTCTGAGCCAGGTCTGACACCAAATTGAAATGGGTCTTGAGAAAACCTATTTTGCCTTTGAACCAGATTTACCACCTTGCTCAAAACATAACTAGAGAAGGGTGTTAAAGAGAGAATGTGTCAGCACATTGTTCAAGTACCTCTTGAATGCACCGTCACCTTTCTCATGCTACGTGACTTCCATAAATTGAAATTGAGAATGCTGAGTTTTATTAAAACTAATCTTAGTTTTCAAAAGCTGTGCAAGGAAAGGTCATGTTGTAATTGCAGAAGTGCTTCAGTGCTGAAAAGATGAGTTCTGACTTGGGTTCTCCTAGCATATGTTGTTGTTTTTTACCCCTTGTACCTTATTTCATTGCTGCTCCTGATGTATGATTATGCTTGGACTTCTACTCCAGACTTAATGCCAGCAGCCATGATTGTGGTAACAACTGTTGTGAAGTCCAGACCTCTTAGTGCTTTAGGAATTTAGAATAAATAAATAGGGAAACTGAACCTAGCTTTGAGGGGAAATATTTTCAAGCTCTGTCTTGTACATATTGAAAAATGTCCTCTGGCTTTTCTCTTTTCTAGTTTTAAAGTAATTTAAAGTATTTGGGAGGAAAGTGATTCAACACCTACATCAGATGTAGAGCAAGGGGCAAAGGACTTTTCTTTTTCTGTTAGTAGAACTTGTTTTAGGCTAAATTAATTATTTTGGATGTGATTTCAGTCTAAGAAAAAAAATTATCCTACTCTGATGTTTCAGCCTCAATAAAATGCTAATTTTGACGTATCCCAGTTTCTTGATTTTAGATATAAAGAATATCTAGAGAATAGATATAAAGATAGATATAAAGAATATAGAGAAGGATGCTTGGACAGTGTCATGTGAACTATTGAACAAGAGAGATCCAAAGATATGTAAAATTACACAAGAAATTGTGCAATATTGTTTGCAAATAAAAATATCTTTCTCCATTATAGTTAGTATCTGATATAAAGGTCTTGCAACTTTAAGAGTATATTTTGGAATAATTTTGGTTAAAGATTGTGGAGCAATGCTGCTGGACCATAGTAAAATATTGTGAATTATTGAATTATTTATTTGAACACATTTCTTTTTTTCCCTTTTTACAACCCTGTAATACCTTCTATTGGGGTGGAGTCAGGGTGACTGAGTGGAGCTGAGTGTTGAACACCTTTCTTTTAACAGACTTAAATTTTATTTAGGATTCTAGGCCTCGCTTATTCCTAATTGGCTGCATAGGAGTCAGTGGAAAAACCAAATGGGATGTTCTTGATGGCGTTGTTAGAAGACTATTTAAGGTAAATAATGTTATATTGATATTTTTTCTAACAATGCCATATTTTGAAAGCTATCTTAGTGGGTTTTTTTTGTTTTTGTTTTTTTTCTCAAAAAATTTTTTTTTATTGTTTTCAACATAAGAAAAAAAGCAATCACAAATACATCACAATTAGAAACCCCCCCCCACCCCCCACCCGGACTTCCCAAACCTAATCCCAGGATACTATTCAACTAAAAGTAACCTTATACTAATATCCCTAACTCCACAAAATATAATTCTACATAAATAGGTGAAATATATGTATATATAAAAAAAGAAAAAAAAAATTTTTTTTATCTAAAAACCTAACCTATATTCCACCATTCTATGCTTATTTTGAATATAAACAATCCATCTTCTCCATATTGATAAAAATTGTTCATTTGAATGATCCTTCAAATAAGCCGAAATCTTTGCCATTTCAGCAAGATGCGAAACCTTCACTCTCCAGTCTTCTATTGTAGGTAAAACTTGACTCTTCCAATTTTGAGCTATCAGCAAACGGGCAGCAGTTAAACAATACAACATCAAATTCGTTTCTTTTACATCCAAATTATGTGTAATACCTAGGAGGAACAACTGAGGCAAAAAAAAAAATCTTCTTTTAAAAACTTGTTGTAAATTCCACCATAATTTTATCCAGAAGGCTTTAATAACCTTACAAGTCCACCACATGTGAAAAAAAGTTGCATCTTGTTGTCCATACCTCCAGCACTTGGATTCATAATTCTCATAAATGCGAGACATAGTTGCAGGATCCATGTGCCATCTATAAAACATCTTATAAAAATTCTCACGTAAATTTTGTGCCTGCGTAAATTTCACATTTCTCACCCATATCAACTCCCAGGTATCCATAGGTATTATTTCTCCTATATTTTGAGCCCATTTAATCATACAATC